AGTTCACCCCAAAAATGAACATTTTGTCATCACTTAACCACCCTCATGTTGTTCCAAACCTGTATGAGTTTCTTTCTTCTCACAAAAGAAGATATTTTGAAGAACGTTGGTAACCAGACAGTTTCTGGTCCAAATTGACATCCATAGTATATTTTTTTCCCTTCTATGGAAGTCAATGCATACATTTACATGTACCAAACATAAATCTACTACTTCAGTTGTAATCAGATTTTTATGGGGTTTTTTTATTTGAAAGCTGCCACATGTAATATTTTTTAAAGAATTAATATTTTCTATATTCCTAAATTTATCATTTCCAAACAAATGAATACACCGTAAACGGTCTGATTACCAACATATTTACATAAAAACATACATTTACATGTACTAAACATAAATCTATTACTTTATTTATAAATCAGATTTTGGTTAAACTTTATTTTAAGATGTTATTGTTGCAGTGTAATTATACATTTTAAGTACTGAGTAATATTAATTAGGATTTGGTTGAGGCCAGTTTCATGTAATTATGCATAATTTACTGTTATTACTCATACTGAGGCAATATTATATTACATGTCACAATGACACTGTTAAATAAAGTGTTACCCATATTTATATATATATATATATATATATATATATATATATATATATATATATATATATCCATTTTAAAGCATATTGTCACACGTAATTTTTTTATATTATTATTTTTTATATATTCCTAAATTTATAATTTCCAAACAAATAAATATCCAAACCATAGACTGTAAAAAATGATGCAAACAAATTAAACAAGTTCCAATGTAAAAAAAAATAATTAGAAAGTCTACTGACAAACACGTCATCTCTCTGCGCCCCCGGAATACACGTGTGCTTCAGTAGCTCGCGACACGGTGAGGGGAAACGTGTGGAAATAAAGCGTAAAAACTGGTAATTTGCAGCAGAAATCATGGGTAAAAAACTCAAAGTCGGAAAAACCAGAAAGGATAAATTCTATCACCTCGCCAAAGAAACGGGTAAGTCGCGTAAACATGACCATTAAAAAAGATCACGAAGTACCACGTTATTACGGTGTTTTTTGGACATTAGCCGTAGTAATAGCGGGTGTTTGTTTAGAGATTAAAGTTAGCATGTCATTCCTCAAAGTATCACTCAAGTATGATGTTAAGTACTCTAGCATATTAAACTAGCATGGTATTACAATCTGAGGCCATGTCTATGCTAATACTGCTTAAATACGTAAAAAATGTAGTTGCCAAAAAGCATGTGTAATTAATTAAAGTCATGAAACGTGTAACATTTATTTTACAGTGTCTTTGTTACACGTATAGTTACTATAGTAATTAGGCCTACTATAAATTGTGCTTAATTAACTTACACGCAACTAAACCAAATCCTAACCCTATAACGTTACATGTAAGTTATTTATTTATTAGTATTCGTATTGAAATGTATAATTACACTGTAACACGGACACACCTTAAAATAAAGTGTAACTGTGAAATGTAAAAAAAAATGTAACATGACTATTTAAAAGTGTAACAAAAATGACATGTTTAGGACCCGTGTTATTCAGTTTACTTTTTTTTTACTTAAGTTTTACTTTATTTTTTCTTAAATCCTGTGTTGTGTGTTTTATTTTCCTAGATGTATGATATAATGCATGTCTTATTATCATAAGAGTGGTGATGAAATGAAATGCGTTTGCTGGTGTGTTGTTGGCCATGTTTAGGTTATCGGTCCCGGTCGTCCTTCAAGCTCATTCAGCTCAACCGCAAGTTCCAGTTTCTCCAGAAAGCTCGAGCTCTGGTGGATCTGTGTGCCGCTCCAGGAGGATGGTGAGCAAACGCTGATGGCTAACTACTAGGGGTGTAACGATACACAAAATTGACGGTTCGGTTTTCCCACGGTTTTGACGTCTCGGTTCGGTTCGGTTTAGAAAGCTAAAATTGCTTCTTTTTTATTTATTTTTAAACAGTGGTTTAACGAAAAAATGGTCTTTCTTTAAATTAATTCAATTACAATTAAACGTTTCACAAGGATTAAAAAAAATCTGCTAAATCTGTAAACTATATAGGGAGCCGCACATTACTATAACATTAAAGGTTGTAGCCTAGACTTTTAACCTAAATTCAGATGCTATTTATTTTTTAGATATAATAATCAACACACAACACATTGTATGAAAACATGTAAACTGAACATAAGGCAGTTTTTGCATTAACTTGTGTTTTTACTCTAATTTGTTATTGAAATATAATACTTTAGGCCTACACAGTTTTCATTTTCATGAAAGATATTTTAAACATACATTAAATAATCAAGATATCATTAACAGGTTAAGTAAAATATAATATATAGGCTAACATGGTGCATTTATTTAGTGCAAGAGTTCATTTATAGGAACCAAGGTTGTGGACACTGAATCACTTGCCTGTTGAGGTAAATATAATGCTAGTGACAAGCTATGGTGTTTTATTGACGTCTTTCCGCTGCTGAAACACTGATTGAGCGATTACACGAGTTATGATGCCTTTCAGTAAGTATACTGCATCTTTCAACATACCTTCAGGTGTCCATTCTGTAACTGAGGAAGAGATGATCGCGTTTACCCGCGCGCCGCGCTGCCGTTTGAAATGAGGAGCTTAGTAGGCATACAGCGATCTGTCACGCCACATCAAAGAGCGCCAAAACGCCATTTATTGTTTGAATTTCGTGATCAAATAGACAGAATTTGAAAGATTACACCTTGCTTATTATCGAAAGTAACAAAACACGGAGCTTGTTATTTGGTGTTAATGGTGGTTAGCTACAAAACTGAATTTGTTGTGTACTGTACACAAGACATGAGGTCCATTGAGCCGGGCTGGGCGGGGCCGGGGTAGCAGGGGGCGGGGAGGGGCGTGTTCGGTACGCAATGAGAGTATCGCGATTCGAATCGTGTGTTCTGTATCGCGGTTTTTCGGTTCGAATATCGTTACACCCCTACTAACTACTGTAATCATTTCATGGGAATCGAAAATTTATTCCAATTCTGTGATCGGGATACTTGAGGTTCAGCCCAGCTAACAATTTTTGGTTCCCAGAACTTGCCTTTTTAAATAGATAGTTCACCCAAAAATTAAAGGGATAGTTCACCCCAAAAATGTAAACTCTGTCAGTAACTACTCTCCCTCATGTTGTTCAACCCCGTAAGACTTTCGTTCATCTTCAGAACACAAATTAAGATATTTCTGATTAAATCTGAGAGCTGGATCACTCCTCCATAGGCTTCTATGTGATTGAAACTTGCCGGCACAGAAAGTTATTAAAGACATCGTTAAAATAGTCCGAGTGACTACAGCGGCTCAACCTTAAGTTTATCAAGCGACGAGAATACTTTCTGTGCGCAAAAAAACAAACAAAAATAACGACTTTATTCAACTATTCATTTCCTTCTCTGTGGGCCTCGAGTGAGTTCACGTAGTGTAACAGCGCAGCACTTCTGGGTTATACATTATATTCAACATTATATATAGTAGATTAATGCAGTACTGACACTAAAACCCTGAAAACTAGAATTTTGGGTGAACTATCCACGATACATATTGTTGCATTTTTGTGTTGCGATATATTGTGACGCCCTAGTTACCCAGCACTGTTCTTGACTAACCCGTGTGTGTTTGGCGTTCAGGTTGCAGGTGGCGTCCAAGTTCATGCCGGTGTCCAGCCTGGTGATCGGTGAGTGGCGTGTGACGTGTAATGTCTCTGATTCAGACTCACAGATCCAGTGTTGACTCTTGATTTGATGTCAGGTGTGGATCTGGTGCCGATCAGAAGCATCCCGAACGTGGTCACGCTGCAGGAGGACATCACGACGGAGAAGTGCAGACAGGTGTGTGTGTGTGTGTCAGCTCAGGAGTGTGTTTCCCTTACGGCGCACCTCGCTGGTTCACTACTATAGTACGATGCATCGCTGTAGAAATCATCTCGACTGTTTCCCGAAGCCGTATTGTTGCAAATTGACTATTCAACCACGTTGGTTAATGATGTCACGCAGGTGTTGGAGAAATAACTACTTTTAATGAATCTGGGTTGTACGTCACACGCAGGCTCTCTATTGGCCGACGCTGGTCATGTGTGTGTGATGCGTGTGACGTACAACCCAGAAGCTCTGCGCTGTTACACTACGTGAACTCACTCGAGGCCCACAGAGAAGGAAATGAAGAGTTGAATAAAGTCGTTATTTTTGTTTGTTTTTTTCGCACAGAAAGTATTCTCGTCGCTTGATAAACTTAAGGTTGAGCCACTGTAGTCACTCGGACTATTTTAACAATGTCTTTAATAACTTTCTGTGCTGGCCAGTTTCGATCCCTTAGAAGCCTATGGAGGAGTGATCCAGCTCTCAGATTTAATCAGAAATATCTTCATTTGTGTTCTGAAGATGAACGAAAGTCTTACGGGGTTGAACAACATGAGGGAGTTAGTAAAGGATTAGTTCACCTCAAAATGAAAATCTCCTGATAGTTTACTCTCCCCAATGCCATTCAAGATGTTCATGTCTTTCTTTATTCAGTGGAAAAGAAATAAAGTTTTTTTTTGAGGAAAACATTTCAGGATTTTTCTCCACACAATGGACTTCAACGTTAACCAACATGTTGAAGTCCAAATCAATGCAGTTTCAAACGGCTCTGCACGATCAGCTGAGGAACAGGGTCTTATCTAGCCAAACCATTGCTTATTTAAAAAAAAAAAACATGTATATACTTTTTACCCACAGTTGTTGGTCTGCGACGCGCCAGGCATTACGTCATCGCGTTGGAAAGGTCACGCTGGACGTAGGCGGAAGCACTGCCCCATTGTTGATCGGTCAAATTTTATTGTATGTTGAATGACATTTGTCTATGTCAGTTTATTGTTTAAAATGGTCGTTTTGTGTGCGCATCCTGGATGTTTAAAAAAATGGGGCGGTACTTACGCCTACGTCCAGCGTGACCTTTCCCACGTGATGACGC